ACTTTTATTCAAGTAATAGTTTTAGAGAAGACTTTTACTTTTACCAAAGTATTTTTATGATAAGATACTTGTACTTTTACTCAAGTATCACTATGAGGTACTTTATACAACACTGTGGAATTCTACATGGAAATCTAGTCATAATAAATTGCTTACATTGACAGCCTGCCCATTCCAATATGGCGTTGCACTTGTACCACAGTGGTCAATTTTCTGAAGTGTGTGTGTGATACCTCTAGTCAGTATTGGATCTGACTGTCATTTGCCTTTCTTGGAGTCTGTAAGTGAAGTACTGGAAGGTATTTCTACATGGCTATGGAGACCTCATGCCAGTATCTTACTGGGCTGAGAGACTTCTGAGAACCATTTGATGATTCAAAAACCTAATCTCTGCACAATAACTGGCCTTTCACACTTTATACTGAAATACAGTAAGTACGATTTCCAATACTCCTGTAAAAAGAAAATTCAGTAAGATACAATGAGCAACCTCACAGCTAGATGCTATTAAATCTCTCACTCTGCTTGTTTAAAGCACCAAAATCCCAACTCATCACAATTAGCTGTGACAGATCAGGGTTATTTCTTCTTCAAGCTTAACAGACACAAAAACTGACATTTATTAGTCAGTTGTGCTGAGCAGAGTAAACAGAACGAGTGCTGAGTTTTACTTTCTCAGTCGAACAAAAAAGAGAAGAAATTTAGAAACCAACATGGACTGTTCGCTCAGAGACAAGTGAAACAAATAAAAAGCAAAGACAAATATGGCAGCAGGAGATAATGAGAGGGACGACTGGATGGTACTGGAGCAGCAGCAAAAAAAGACGAAAGAAGTGCTCAGAGAGAAGCAGAGATGCAAGGAGAAATTTAGATGAAGCTAGAGGGCAGAGAAGGAGAAGAAAAGAGTTAAGTTGGCCATTAGTGATGCGGCATGTGGAACCCACTCCAACATGCGTTCCACAAGGTTAACGATAAGAGCCCTGTAGCAGCTGAAATGCTCAAGTAGCTTTTATTGTATCACAATAATAAATCAAAGATTAAAAAAAACCAAACGAACTCCAAAAGGCAACCAAGTAAAATAAAACATCTGCGCTGAGGGCTGAGTGGGTAGGCAGCAACTCAAACAGAAGAATGTGAGAGATGTTATAGAAAATAATAATAAAAAAAAAAAACAATAAAAAATGACTCTTTCTGCTAAAATCTTCTTATGTCATCCGGTTGAAAAATACCTGCCTGCAGGTCAGGGATCCCTCGTTAGGAAAAAGCTTCATAAAACATTTCACAGCTAAATGCAACATTAAATATCTGCATCCCATTTACTTTTACTAACTGTTGAGGATGGGAGGAGAACATGTGAAGACTGAGATTTTTAGGTAAAAGGAAAAAATAAATATTAGGACAAATAAAAGACAGAGAAAATGACATTCTGTTGAAAACTGTGCTCTGACAAACTTGTATTTGTTTTATTGCTGTCTTATGCTTTTTACTTGGCGAGACTCATACTTTACGTTGTATTGTGCTGTCTCATTGAGTGTGCTGCATTTAGTGCCCTTGTCAAATGCAGGGAATTTGGTTATTCAGCTTGGACACAAGTTAGCCACCCACTGGAGCAAACTGTTAATTATTTCCTCTTCTATCTTAATCCATATTGCCTAACACTTGAATCTGTATCACTCTTTCAATGTTTCATATGATTCTCAGTGATTGTGATCGGCTATTTTGTGTTGTTTGATTGATGTTTCCTTAAGCCACGAATCAAACTAAAGGTCCACAGGCCAAATGTGGCCCGCCACAGTATTTTATGTGGCCCTCGTATGCTTCAAAGACGTTAAAAAGGCTTAAAATATGCTGTCTTAAAGTCAGTATAGATGATTAATTACATCTCACATAACGCATAGTTGTTGTAACCACAAAATGACAGCATCCCACCAGTAGGTGGAGGTGCAGGGTTCAAATGTAGCCAGCAAATTTTGCCATGCATTTTCACTGCATTTTTACTAGTGATGTTTGATCCTGCCAGTTTTCTTTTCGATACTGATACCAAGTAAAATTTGGCTGGTATCGGCGATACTGATCCGATACTGATACTTTGTGATAACACACACAATGTGTCTGGTAAATCTTAAAAAGTACTGCTTTATAAATAAGCGCTTTATAAATAACTGCTTTATAAATAACTGCTTTATAAATAACTGCTTTATAAATAACTTTTTTTATAAAAAAATTTCTTTATGAATAACCGCTTTATAAATAATTCATGACATAGTAAGTAATTTATTAATTTAAAAGTCATTCTAACCCTAACCTTAGATTTGCTTAGCACAATTTAATATTCTTATCCTTAAGAAATATAATAATCTTTGAATAGTGAAAAAAAGTGAGAAAAATATTTTAAAAGTTGTTACTTTGTATATTTTGTAGCATCGTTTGCGTGTTTGCAAGAAGGTATCTGGCCAGAGGTAATGCTGTTTGGGGGGCCATAGTATGAAAAAGTTTGGGAACCCCTCATCTAGAATTTAATTACAGACAGTCAGAWGAAGCAGATTTTATGTTAAAATGACCTGCCATACATGTACAGACTGAGTGACTGACGGAGCACGTGCCACTGTGCTTATGCATTATCCAAGCGAAAGAAAAAGTAGTTCCCTCCAACCACATGTTTAAGACAAGATTCCATCCATCCATCCATCCATCCATCCATCCATCCATCCATCCATCCATCCATCCATCCATCCATCNATCCATCCATCCATCCATCCATCCATCCATCCATCCATCCATCCATCCATCCATCCATCCATCCATCCATCCATCCATCCATCCATCCATGAGTTTGGATCACTGAAAGAACACAAATGAGAAACCAAAAGTTGATGTTGTCCAAATGTACACTTAGTGGATTCAACAGTATTAATAGACCAGAGAGAAATTAGTACCTCTAGCATAATCTAGACCAGTGGTTCCCAAACATATTCCCTGAGAGGGCCAAGATTAAAAACCATTTTCCCTAAAAGGGCCAAAATTAAAATCAATCAGAGGGTAGTGGGCCAAATGCAATAATATAATACACGAAATGCAAATACTTCAAGTAAAGTTGTATGTTTTATGATTAAGCTAGCAGCCAGTGTGGTTGCCCACATTTTTTTGTTTGTTTGTTTTTTCAGCCCATGGACATGGAGAAAATTCAACGTTTGCTCGGGCAGCAAAGGCTCATGGGACTTTTCATAATTTAAAATTTGAGCATATGTGGTCTTATAAAGGTGTGCAAATCTAGATATGCACTTAAATCTAATGTATGTAAATGTCTCTTGAAGTTACTTGTATTTTAAGTTTAATCTTAACATAATTCAAAGATAAAGTGAGCTCCGTGAGTTAAGACAATCTGACTACAGCTCCTTGTACCTATAGTTGGTCCAATGTTTGAAACGACTAAGTGCAAATACATTATTTCTACATAAGACAGGAGATTACAATTTAGCAAGCAGGATAACTGCTAGTGGGCCAAATCAAATGGCTTGGCGGGCCAAATTTGGCCCGCGGGCCCCACTTTGGGCACCTCTGATCTAGACCTTTGGGTCTCAGCAGGGCATGCCTGAAAGCTTGCATCCAGAATGCATCCTATTCAGATGCTCAAACCACCTCAGCTGACTTCCTTTGGTGTGAAAGAGCCTTGGCTCTACCTTGAGTTCCCTCCGGATGATGGAGTGCCTCTCTCCTCAGCCCAGCCTAACCAAGGTTTAAAGATGCCAACAGCACCACCTCATCTGCAAAAAGCAAAGATAACACTGGATCACCAAAGCAGATGCACCTCCTCTCCATGTACCTTGAGGTTCTGTCCATGATCACCACAGACAGAATTGAAGAAGAGGGAGTTAGAGCACAACTCAAGTTACTTTAATGTTGTGATCGTTGTTTTTTGTGACGGCAATGTCAAAATCACAATAAAACAAAAGCGTTCCTTTTTATATCAAAGATTAGGACGGTCATGTCAGCTGATTCAAGTTAAAATAGTCACACCAGAAAACATTCCGCAAATTACGCAACTTATTGTTATAGATCATCTTGAAGTGTCATGATGGTGTCAGTGAACAACAAACAGTGCTGGCTCTAGCCATTTTRGTGCTCTAGGCGAGTTGAAGCGCAACCCCCGCCCCAACTATCTCCCACCCACCCCAATTTGAACCCCTAAAAACAAGTTTGACAGTGTAAGGTAAGGTAAACTTAGATTTATGCCACCCCCCCACCTCCACGTGCGAGTTGTATGGATGTTTGGCAAAATTTACGAATTTTTGAGGCTTTTTATGCAGGTAAACGTCCGAAGAGGTTGACATGTATGGGACAACAAAATACAGACTTGTTGTTATTGAGTTTGTCAACATGAACCGCTACCTGAGAGGCACTACTAGCCCCTCCTCCATCAGAGTGTCAGAGCAGGACGAGTCAGCACAATGTCACTCAAATGAGAGAGTGGGTGGGGGCGTTTACTGCATTGGGGGGGATGTTTTATGGGTAGAGTAGTTTATTTTTCCTGTAATACTTCATTATAGTTTTTTTAAGACAAAGCTAACTGAAAGGGGCGCTGAGCAGAGTTACAACCAGGGATTACAAATAATTACTTTTTTTTCTTCTGCAGTTCAGCGCCCCTCCAGCAGATGGCGCTCTAGGCGACCGCCTAGTTCGCCTATGCCAAGAGCCGGCTCTGAGCGAAGTTAAGCATAACACAATTACCACTCATTTTCATCCCATCATCCTCTCATGAATATAAAAATAAAGCTCATTATCTAGAGATAGTGTTATAATGAGAAAACAAAAGACCAATAGCAAGATAACATACAATAAAATGAAACTAGATAATCATAATGAGTTGTCATTTTATCCCGTTGATAAAAAGACATGAAAACTAATAACTAATGTTTCAGTTCTCTGGCCAGTTTTGTGTTACACTATGACAAACACACAATTATAGTTAAAAAGGTGAAAAATCAGAGACAGGAGGCTGATTTCAAAACTGGAAGCCTGGTTTTAATTGATATTGCTCTACTGTAATAATCCTGAAAGGCATAGTTTGGAGTAACACATGTAATGTTTCAACCCATAGTAGTATAAGTTACAGAATCATAGGTCTCTCTTTTTGCATGAACAATATATACAATGTGAAATAAATACATTTACACAAATGGACAGTATTGTTGGAGCACACTTGTATGATACACGTCACAAAAATATACAGGTTATTGTTTCTTTTTTTATTTACTGATGTGAAGCACATCTAAAATCTACGAACATGTTTTCAGTAATACTACAAGGTATTCACTCATCAGCAGCTCTTCTCCACCCCCTTTTCATCCTTGAATATCCACTTTATCCCAGTGTTCCCAAAGTTTCTCTTTCCCTTTTAATATTTTTATATACTTGCAGATTCAGACTGGAGATAGGCTGCAGCACAAGCGGCCATTACATTTGGGGGTTAAATAAAACTGAATGACAAGTCATCGTAGAGCTCCATAAGGTTTGGTCTTAGCCAGTTTTCAGGGGGAGCTCTGGAAGATGGTCAGTTCTGCTCTGTCACTATGGCTCAAATCTTTTCCTTCTGCTCCAGAGAAACTAAAATAAAACATGCCATGTTTGCAGCTAATGGATCTAAGCCTAAAATAAGGGCAACAACATGATGCCCAAAGTGCAAACAGTTCAGAATCCCTGTCTCTAAGGCTCAGCAAACAACTAGTCTGTCTTCCACTGCTCCTGATGGAAATAAGAATTCTGGTTTTTATATTTGATTGGTTTCAATCCAAACTGCAGAATTTCACTAGATACATCAGTGTATTGAACCCAACACAAAAAAGTGCAACTTTTGCCTTAATATCATACAGTCTTAAACCTATTTCTAATGATGAACAATGGTGCACGTTTTTTTTAAGTCATTTAAAAGCAGCTTCAGTCAGCAAAACAAAGGGGCACCATTTTCAGTTTCAAGTGTGACGATCAACCTCATTCAGCTCAGTGCTCTTCACCTTGAACAAATATGCAACATGATACGATTTTAGATGCGTCGCAAGTCCACATGGACAGTTTGATAATTAACAATAAATAAAAACAGTAATAAAGGTCAAACAACAGTAAAAAGAAAGCACCTTTTCTGGTATAAATTACTGTATGTTTGGAATAATAAAATTATAACAGTGATCCAAACTAAATGGAGCTTGACTGATAAGGGGAGTGTTTTAAATTAAATAAAAGTAAAAAAAAAAAAAATAAATACATTTGCAACTTAACCTACAATTATCCTGTATTCGTTTTTGTCTATTTAGCCCTAAAAAAGCACATATTAACATAAGTTCTCAAAGTCTTAGATGGTTTGAGCTTACATCGCCACAATAACATGAATAAAGGATGTAAAGAAATGTTTTCCCACTGACCATGTTTCACCTTTTGTAAGAGACATCTTCTAAAAAATAGGCTAAACCATGAAAGCTTAATATCTTGTATAGTGGCTTTTTTGAAACTGTAAATGCAACAACTGAGCTGAGCTGTATGGAGGACAGATATGTACAGTGAATTTATAAAAAAAATTACATACTGTTTGAAATATTCAAATGTACTTTTTTAATTTCAGCTTTTTTAAACCTAAAGATATACAGTACATTATTTATTCTATAGGGCAGTTACACAAATAATCCTTGTTTAAGCAGCTTTTAAGGTGTGTCTTCATTTAGGTGCTTAATGTTAAATGATGTTGAGCTTGGTGGAGATGGATGCTGCAGTTTGATCCTGGTCTTAAAATAAGGTTTGGTTGATTTTGAGAGAATCGGGTGCCCCTAATAGAGTGGTCTGACAGACAGACAGACAGACAGACAACATGGCCTCTACTCTACTCTGATGTCTACAGAAGAAGCACACAGCACAAAGACAGCAATCACCACAAGAAAAAGTACACAGCAACGCCTTCAAGGAGGAACAGAGGAACGGATCAAACAAACCAAAATAAATTAATTAAAAAGGATTTAGAACATGAACTGATGAAATTAAATAAAAATTTTTTTTACTTTGACAAAACAAAACAGCAAACATGAAACACACAAGCTGAACTACATTTTTTCTTGTTTTTTTAACAATAAAATGTATAACGTTAGAATTATATTCTGTATCATTTACAATATACAGGGTTAAAGAAGGCAAAGAAAATACCCCCTTATTAACAATACTGATGGTTGACACAGAATATGTGATGCTAGAGATTAACTACATTTAATCTGCTGCACTCCTCAGCAGTGAACAGTTGCTATTTTACATTACATTACACCATTGTCTAGATAACATATTTTGGCATTCTTATTTCAGAATTAAAACTGCGTAAAGAAAAAAAGAAATTAGGTGATCCCTCAACTGTTCTACCTGTTAAAGCTGTGATTGTTTAGCGTTCTGTTGCACCAACGGCATTAAACGTTGCTCCATCTCATGGGGGGAAAAAGGTAACATGACTTTCTATCAGCTCAGCTTTTTCATTAACTGTTTCAAGAAACAAAAACTGTGAATTTAAACAACTCACGGTCAAAAGACTTTAATATCACTGTGGTAAAATCTTAATTTTAAATCAGTTAAAGCTACAGTTTAACGTAGTTAAAGTCACATCTTAAATTACTTATCTGAACGTCTTTAATGGTTCAGTTTATATGGACGCTGATGTTACAGATTTAAATGACAACGAAGGCTAATTAGGTCTAATTAGGTTGAAAGCACAATAGGAGGCACATTTATTTAAATAAATAAATAAATAACTAAATAAATAAAAACATTAAAAAGTACATTTGATACATCCCATAATTCTGTTTCATCTGTTAGTTTTGCTTTATTTTTACTCTTTTTAGATGATTTTCTGTGTTGCTTTTTTTTGCGCAAGTTTTCACAGCTCCCAGTTAAACGCTCTGATGATGCCAGCTACCGGCCTGAAGCTTCAAAACAAAACTAAGTTCAGAACCCATTTGTGTGGCTACTTTAAGTGGCTTTAAACAGTCCATGGTGGCTGGCTTAAAGGAAGCTGACAGTTTTTCACTTTGATATTTTCTTCTCGAACCATTTCCCTCTTGAATAAATCTAGATGGTCCCTATTTTAAGTCACATGGCTGACATGTGCAACTTACTGCACATCAAAATAGGACAAAATGTGGCCACTATTTGTTTTCTGGTTTGAAGCAAAGTCTTGTGTTATTCTGATTAAATGAACCAGGAAAAGTTCTCATTGTAACTTTGCGCTGGATACTCTGCAAGCCATCGACCTAACAACTTTTGGAGGAAAGCCGCCGTCACGGCTAACTCTGGTCCACACGTTTTCTGACTAACAGATGAAATGTTGACTTTTATCTATCAGCTTTGGACAAGTTACACAGAAAAACGCAAACCGATTCTTCTCCAAACCCTCATCCCCAAGTAGCCAAACTGAAGCATGGCATAAAATGTTAATATTGCAGGTTTTGTCCATATGCACACATCCCTCCATAAAACCCACTATTACTCAGAATTTCTAGGATAAACTGATTTGTTAATACAATATTACTTGTTATATTGTTTTATATATATAATTGCTGAAAGTGATCAGATCGATAAAAAAAGAAAGACATATTGATTGATTCAGTTTTAAGAAGACAATCTTAAGATCCAAACAAAGTTGCGTTATATGTCATATACAGGATGAAAAATATTTACAACCCTTATATTGGTATCATTTCTAAGATTATTTTTTAAGTTAAAAATAAAAAAACATAACAAAAGGGAGGATGTTTAAAGCAACAATAGTTGTTTTTAGTCAGTTTTATCAGCAAACCTTACCTTCTAATTTGTACTTTGTTGAGTAGCTGAAGCTTATTCCCTGAAAAAGTCACAAAGAAATCTCTGGACTGATGCAAGGGATGAGCTGGAAGTTGTGAACGCCACAGGATCAGAGCACTGTGGTGTGACCTAATGGCACATTGAGTGAAACGGCAACTGACTGGTTTGTGAAGAGCTGCAGTTAGGGTTGGTAATGAGCTAAAAATGTTTCAAACAGGCACCTAAACCCAAGAGGAGTGATTGACAGAATATAATTCAACAACTGTTAAACCTTACCGGAATGTATTTTTGACTATTGACAAAGTCAATTTACTTTTTCATTAATTTGTACCATCTATAGATAAATATCCATCAGGAGTCATACCTCGTGGGCTTGGATGCTAACTCACTCTTGAGCATGAGCTCATCCTTATTCAAATCATTTTCAGCTTCATCGAGTGCACAAACACTGTTACAATAGGAATACTGACAATTCTGGGAGGCCTGCAACATTTGTCTTCAGCGAGTGCGAGAGATGGTTATGGTGTCGTTGGAGTAGAAGGGTGACTGGAATCAAAGCAGAATTCAGAGAGAACCAGAAATTGTCTAAAGCAGTTGCTTCTGTTCCTTGTCCCACAAACTCTGAACCCAGTTGGTTTTCAGAACCACCACAGAAATTTGAAATGACCGTTATTAAAGAACCAGCGTTACTCCTGAGGCCCAGGATTGAAAACCCACTTAAAAACCAGGCAGAGTTTGAGTTGTGATAGTAAAAGTTGCTGGCATCCTCTGAATGGACGATTCCATTCTTTGGCAGGGCAGATCTCCTCTTCTTTTCTTCCTGTTTATCCATCCAAAACTGACTGGACCTGTACACTGACAACAAATGTCATTAATACCTTTTTTTAAAGTGTTCACTTCTTTTCCTTCACTCGTTTTCTTCTTGAACATTTAGAAAAAAATCTCTTAGGTGAAACACGAGGACGGGGGGGAGGAGACTCAAGTGCAGTCTTACAGTCTTTCCAAACTAAAATGTACAATACTTAACATCTTTTAAATTTGTTCTTATTTATTGTTTGTCATTATTAACATCTTAATTGGTATTGTTACTCAATGCATAAGTGTTTTGTTGTTATCTAGGTTAAAGTCACTGTGTGTAGTTATGTAAGTGTTACGTAACTGATTTAAAATGTTTTCTTCAATTTGTCAGAGGGGAAGGGTTAGAAGTCCAGCTGTCTGCATCTTCCCCACAAACAGACTCCGATGAGCTCCCTTTAGTCAACAACTGTTGGTTTAGGGTTCAAGTCTAAGATTGAGATCATTTCCAGTGTGTGTGTGTGTGTATGCTTTAAAGTGTGTAGGAGCGTCTGTGTGTAAAAGAGCAAGAGGTCATTCAAGTTGTGGATCAAAGTTTGAGATGAAGCTCAGGCGACTGAGGCGGGCATCTGTCTGTCCTTCCATCTCCTCCCCATCCTCAGACCTTGGCTTCCAGCAGCTCCAGGAAGAGTTTGTGCATTGGGACTTTTCCATCCTGCTTGATGCTGTAGAAGTGCTGCACAGCCTTGGTGGAGGTCTGACGGAGCAGGGGGAGGGTCATGAGCAGCTTGCCAGCCCGACGGGGGTCCTCCTGGTGCTGGGAAGCCTCATAGTCCTGCAGGGCCTCGTGCAGCACATCCTGGAGCTTCTGCACTGCATCCACGTCCTCGATATGCATGGAGTCTGGAGACAAAGGGAAGTTAGCGTCGGCCTGAAATCCCAAACAAAACTACGTGGCAAACATTTCCACTGCTGCTGATGCCCTTATTTAAAGGGATCCCCGATTAGTTGTAACATTAGACTTTATTTGATAAACATTTATTTTAAATGTATAATAAAGACTGTAAAATACTGTAGGCTGTTCAGTTTTTATAATTTTTAAACTAAAAGTTAAAAAATATATTACACGGACAGGGCCATTTCATTTACACGCAAAGCATTCTGGGTAAATGATGACATCAACTAGGTCATCAGTGCGAGGCTGCTAGCGAGCTATATCCACCCTGAAGGTTAATCTTGGACAATATCTGATGATCGACTCTTTTAAATGAAACCAGAGAGCGTTGACAGAGAGGAGAAGGTAGAAATGACTCAGCCTGGAACTGAAAATATGGATGGAGGACAACAGAGCTGCTTCATGGAAGAAGAACCTCAGCTTAGCCTGTTAGCTTTAGCATTAGCCCCGATGCTATCACCATATATATGTATTAGCTCAGCGCTACACATTCTCCTCTCGTCACTGATGTCCTCCATCCACGTGACAGAGAGGGGAACACAAAAATGACTCAGCCTGCAACTGAAAATATGGATGGAGGACCTCAGTTTAGCTTGTTTGTCGCGCTAGCACCGAGCTAATGCATATAAGGCAATATAGCGTGAGGGCTAACAGGCTAAGCTGAGGTTGTTCTTCCATGAAGCAGCTCTGTTGTCCTCCATCCATATTTTCAGTTCCAGGCTGAGTCATTTCTACCTTCTCCTCTCTGTCAACGCTCTCTGGTTTCATTTAAAAGAGTCGATCATCAGATATAGTCCAAGATTAACCTTCAGGGTGGATATAGCTCGCTCACACAGAGGACCTATCCACGTCATCATTTACCCAGAATGCTTTGCATGTATATAAAATGGCCCTGTCCGTGTTAAAAAATATTTTTAAAAATTTACAAAACTAAATAGCCTACAGTATTTTTACAGTCTTTAGTTTACAGTTAAAATAAATGTTTATCAAATAAAGTTTAATGTTACAACTAATTGTGGATCCCTTTAAAACCTAAATTCAGACATGCAGCCCACCATTCAACAATTAACATTAGTTTAGTAATTTTGTTCCCAAAATACTTTTCAAAAAAAAAAAAAACTATTTTATTGAGCATCAGAACCTGAAGGTTTGTTGTTGCTAAAATCGCCCATAAATCGTTCGATGAGCTCCACCGTATGTGTTTTTAAAGACCTGTGACTTCCCTGTCTGCTGTGTCAGTAAGTCAGCTCAGAGGGAAAGAAATGACACAGACTGAAATTCAAAATCTAAACCAGAACACTTGAGAGATGCTCCCAAGAATCAAACGTTTAGGTCAAAAATCCATTAAATGTAAATTCTATTGACTTTTGATTGATTCTGATGTTTGCAGCAGAAGTGCAACATATTCACATTTGCATTTTGAAATAAATCACTGAAAACACATCATTGAAAAGATCTGAATTAAGTAAAAACACTTTCTAGAAATCATGGGAGTATTATTTTTGACCTAAACCAAAGCCAGGAATTCAGCTTTACTCCAATATATACACACAGGCACTGCTTTTCGCTCTGTTTTTAAGGTGTGCATCTGTGGGTGTGATGAATGGACAGGTGAAAAGACGAGTGGGAGGCAAAAAGAAGGGATAGAATTATAGAATGATGGAAGGATGCAGCAACACCTAATGTTTGCTGTTGTGTGCGTGTGTAAAGGTACGTGTCTGCAGACTTCTGTAATCTCTCGTTGCGCTGCCATGTTAGGTGTGTTTCAGCATGCACAGCAGTAAAGAATGAGAATATCCCTCAGTAATAATGCTCTGTATTGCCCCTTAGGGAGGCAAAGTCTTAATGTGAGCTGGCCTTTAGTCCCCAACCTCTGATCAATGGCTCTAATCAATGATTACATGCATGTTAAATAATAATCACGAGCCAACTATCAACGACCACTTCCACTCCGCCATCACCACTCCCATCCACGCGTGCACACACACACAAAACTGATCTGCGGTGTGCAACGTGTGCACATTATTATTCTGATGCATTTCAAGCATGAGGGAGATGACAAAAAATAAAAGTTCATGTCAACATTTTGTAAACTGCATTGAGCTTCGAAACGACTTTTGTTATGATCCTTTCACATCGTGTTACCCCTCTCATTAAGGACCTGCAGCACCTCTCTTCGGGGCAGCTATTTTTTAATTGGTCCCAAATAATCCATGTTCCAGACAGACACACAGGTTCACTCAGGCTCAGGCGGGAATAAAAGTAAAAGAAACTGGGGTCTCAGAAAGTAAGAAAAAAGTGTGAAACAAAACAAAGCTGATCGGACAAATCAAACGAGTCAACACAGCCACTTGCACACAGATTTGCACATCAGCGTGCACAAACACAATCAAATACACAGAGCTGGATCTATGGAGTGTAATGCATGTATCAGTATGCAGGACCAGACCGGTC